GCTGCTGCTGCAGCTGCTGCTGCTGCGGTGGGCGCGGAGCTGCTGCTGCTTGCTGCAGCGGCATTTTTGTGTAGCTGCGTAGCAGCAAATCTTTATTTTCGTTTGTGCTGCAGGAGACACTCCGAAGTGTCTCCAAACTAATGCCTTATTCTTTAATTATGTATGTGCTGCAGCCTGTGCTGCTGCTGCTGCAACAGCAGCAGCAGCAGCAAAGTGCAGGTCCAGAAGAGATAAAGGCTGCTAGTTGCTGCTGTTGCTGCTGCTGCTGTTGATGCTAGTGCTGCTGCTGCTACTGCTGTTGCTGTTAGTGCTGCTACTGCTGTTGCTGCTACTACTGTTACTGTTGGTGCTGCTGCTGCTGTTACTGTTGCTGCTATTGCTATTGTTGCTGGTGCTGTGGCTGCTGCTGCTGCTGCTGCTGCTAGCGGTATCTGTACTGTGTCAAATGAACTTCAACTTAAACGAGGAGTTGGTTTTAGCTCAAACTCTTAAAAGTAAACTAATTTGAATTAAAATTAAATTAAAATAAAGCTAAATTAATTTAAATTAAAATTAAATTAATTCAAGTTAAATTAAAAGGGAAATCGATCTAGCACCGCATGGTTTCGATCCATGGACCTGGGGGTTATGAGCCCCCCACTCTCCCACTGAGCTACGGTGCTGACGGATTTGTTTTTTGCGCAATTTTGGCAACAAAAGAATCTTTTATAATTCTCTTTTAATTCAATTAAACTTAAATTTGAACTTAATTCTTTTAATTCTTTTCAATTTCGAAAATACACGGAGAAAAATGGCGGGGGCCTGCGATCCTGCTGCAGAGCTGTCTATACACCGCAACCGCTGGGCCGCTGCAACCAGTTCCGCTCTCTCGGCTCATTTAAATTGTTTTGTTCGAATTTTAATTGAATTGAATCAAATTTAATTGAATATTTACTTTGATTTGTTTTTTTAATGCATTTTAGGGCGCTAAATATGGCCAGGGGGGCCCCTGCGAAGCGGCAGCGGCTGCTGCTGTTGCTGCAGCAGCCCCACCCGAGGCAGCGGAATTTATCTGTTCTGCTGCTACTGTAATCCTTCTATGTTTTTAACTCTTTTTTGATTCTTTTTTAATTCTCAGTTAATTCTTATTTTAGTTTTTTAAACCCCATTTTAGTCCTCCAACAGCCACACGAGGGGGGGCCCCCTAGTCGGCTTCGCTGCAGCAGACGACGAGCCTCTTAAGGAAATAGAGCCCCGGCAAGCCCTTGCTGCAGCAGCAGCAGCTGCTGCAGCAGTAGCAGCAGCAGCTGGAGCAGCAGCAGCAGCAGCTGCTGCTGCTGCTGCTGGGAGCTTTCTCTGGGTCTATTCGCAGCCCCCGCACTGTTAGAGGCAAAGGAAGTGTTTTTCTGCTGCTGCAGCAGCAGAGCCTGCTGCTGCTGCTGTTGCTGCAGGCGGCGCAGCAGCAGCAGCAGGACCTGTCGCTGCTACCGCAATGAGTAACCCGTTGCAACGCAGCGAGGCGGCGGGGACGGCGGGCCCTGCTGCTGCTGCTGCTCCCGCAGCAGCAGCAGCAGCAGCAGCAGCTGGTCCTACCGCGGCAACAGCAGCCCCGACGTCCCCCGCAACAGCAGCAGCACCCGCAGCAGCAGCAGCCGCACCCACAGCAGCAGCAGCCGCACCCGCAGCAGCAGCAGCAGCAGCCGCACCCGCAGCAGCAGCAGCAGCAGCAGCAGCAGGAGAAGCGGGTTTGTCTCGTCGAGCTGCTGCAGTGTGCGAACAGCTGCGGGAGTTGAGCTGGGGCGTTGGGGTGTCTGTACAGCTGCTGAGCAGCAGCAAAAGCCGCAGCAGCGAAAAGAACTTTTTGCGAATTCAAAAATGTTTAAACAAAATAAAACATTTAGGAGACAGCAGCAGCAGCAGCAGCAGCAGCAGCGGGCTTTTGCAGGAGCTGGAGAGCCTCAACTTGTCCCTTTTTGTCTCCGAGTTTGCTGCTGCTCTTGCTGAAGTGGAGGGCCGTGCTGCTGCACTTCGTGCTGCTGCTGCTGCTGCTGCTTTTCTTGCTGCTGCTTATTCCGACTTTTCTTCTCTTTTCCTCCAGGCCCTCAAAAGGAACATTCAAGTTCGCTTTAATTATTTATTTTTATTTATTTATTTATTTATTTATTTATTTATCTAGTTTTATTTGTTTAGTATTTAGTTGTATTTGTTTATTTATTTATTTGTTTGTTTATTTGGTTTTATTACTTATTTATTTATTTATTCTTTAGTTTTATTATTTATTTATCTATTTATTTACTTCTTTATTTGTTTATTTGTTTATTTGATCTTATTTATTTATTTATATATGTATTTTTGCCTATTTTTGTTTATTTATTTAGTTTTATTTATTTATTTATTTGTTTATTTGTTCATTCATTTGTTTGTTTATGTGGTTTATTTATTTATTTGTTTATTTGTTTATTTGCTTTTGTTTAATGGCTTTTGTTTATCTGTTTGTTTTTATTTATTCATTTCTGTTTAT